GGAATCTCAGAATGTCCCCCTAGTGGTTTTCTAAGCCTTTCTAACATACCTAGCTTCATTTCTTTCTTTTAAATCAAGATTTCAACGAGGTTGGTTGTGTCTTTAGTCTGGTTGAAACTTCATTTTATTTTTACACCCAAATACAGCATAGTTACTACGTGTGATAAATTATACTAGAACTCTATGGTATTGATGTAGTAATTTATGATTTTTTATATATATAAAAGTATAAGTATGTATAAAACCTAAAAAAAATATTTTGTTTCATGTCCAAATTTTTAAAGGCTTAGCAAACTACATCCAGCAGCAACCGAGTACAAAGGTCACAACTAGAAGAGATAATTGTTTGCTTTACTTCTTTATTTACTGTTCTGTGATTTAGGAAAATAAGTTAAGATCTTATTTCAAAATAGATATAATCTATATACATATTTAATGTATAATAATTGAAATGTAACTATTTTACAAAATACTAGTCGACTAAAACGCAGCCGATACAAGTTACTTTGTACAGACCAAAGGTCAGTTTTGTGTTATTTGATATGGTAACATGGGTGCATATGAGCTGCTTCGTTGTAACTTCTGTATTGTTAGCCAGGCACGGGTGAAAGGTCAATTGAATAAAAATAATTAATATATATATAATGTTATGCGATTTAAGCTGTTTTGTCAATCTCCCTTAGTTTGAGATCTGTGATATTTGCTTTCTATGCTTTCCCTCTTCTCTGATATGTTTACCACCCTTCTGCAAATTACAGAATTTAATGTTAGTTACTTATTATAATATAGTTATTACTCAGGCAAAGCATAATTTTTATAGTCTTCAATGTTATGTGATTTCAGAGTTATGAACTAGAAAATCATACCCCCTTCCTTACACACCCACCTGTCACATTTTCTATTTCACAAATTTCCAATAGTTCATTCTGTTGTTTAATACTATATTATTTATAACCAACAGAAAGCCAAAGCTTTAAGATGTCAAATGACATATTGTTTTACATTGTTTTCTGTACAGAGAATTTTCTATTTCACGTCCAGTTCAAAGTTTATTCCCATAGGAAACACGTTAATGAGCTTAGCTGAAATTTTAGTGGCTTTTATTGCATAGGTAGAATACCAGAAAATTATGATAGTTATAGGACATTGTTTGGTTTTTATGTGTTGTTATTCTTTGTTAGGTGAATTATTTATAGCAATAGTACCATTTGTATAAAAAAATAGGATTAAGTTTCTTCAACATTTCACAGCAAAAAAATCATATTGGATTAATCACATAGTATAAAATATGAATAATCCTACATGGTTATGCATCAAATAATTATAGAAGCATTTAAAGTTAAATAATCTGTTTTGTATTAATATCAGTGAAACACATGAAAATATGTTTTCAATCATAATGCTTGTTTTCACTTTTGTTAATAGGGTCTCATGAGACTACAAGTAAAAATAGGTAGGCTAGTTCAGGCATAATTTTTCAGAAAATAACAGCTTATATATTTGTAAGCACTGCCTTAGCCTTCAGAGAAGTAAAACAGTTGCTTTGCTTCCAATTCACACAGAGTAATTGGTAACTTTTGTTTGTATTTTTTATATAGAAAAAATGTGATATGAAATTTTTCAGTATTTATGTTATGGGTAGTTAGAACTATTAGATTTCATAGCTTAATCTATTAGTTGTTTATTTGTACAAATATATATCTATTTGTAAACATCCTTGATGTGCTTGTTTTGTAGTTTCTTAAAAGCTGTGTATAGTATTTAACATTGTTTTTATAATAATTTATTTTGTGAGGATTTTTCTATTATTGATATGTTCAGTCCTCTTCATAAAAAAATAAGTATATCCAATTGGATGGAATAACTGACAGAGTTGAAACAAGTAAAGGTAAAAGTGACTGATTGGATGGTCACATTGAAATGTCAACTATAAAAAACGTATATTATTATGGTTGACTAATAATAAATGACATAAACATATATATATATATATATATATATATATATATATATATATATATGCTTGTTTGTGTGTGAACTTATAATGATTACATGCACTTACAATTTAAAAATATATCTTATAAGCAATTTCTTAATTTGTAAAATATCCTGTTCAGATGGACGTGCAGTTCTGAGTGTAGTCGTACATGTTATTTATTCTATTGATTGTGTTCTCATGAAGATCAATAATGTGAAACCAACTCATTTATCAGTGTTTTAAACTAGTTGTGTTTTTTCATTGTATGAATTTTATCCTTAAGTTTTGTACTTTTGTTAGATGACTTGTTGATCTTGCAGGTAGTTGACAGTTTTAAATAGTGTTTAAATTGCTGAGTAATGGGAATATATATCATTAGTAGTTGTATTTATAAATATATATCACTTAATAATTTTTGAAATGTGCTTATCAAAAATTCAATATAATAATTATATTCTAGTAAAGAACAATAGTAATTTTTAGGTGGATCCTTTTTTTTATAATAGCAAAAAACTGATAAAATAGAAATGTTTTGTATTATTTTTCTTGTAGGCTGAACTATACTTCCCTTTGAAGATTAGATATAATAAAACTGTCAAAGAAATTAAAAAACATGATTTTGTGTCATATTTTTAGGTTTCTGTGATGCAGTTTTCGCAGCCACAACAAACTGGGGGGCAAGTTGTTAATAAGCCTCAGACTGTATCTTCTTCACAAATGCCTCCTCATTCAGTATCCCATGCTCAATCTCTTCCTCAGTCATCAACACCTCAACCACAATCACAACAAATACCAATACAGCAACCTCCTAGATCAGCATCAGTTCCAGAAAGTACAGGAAATTGTCCCCAGACAACATTTATTTCCCAGAAAGTAGTACTACAAGACCAAGTGCAGAGGATACCTTCTAACCATCATCAAAATTTTCATGCCTCACAAAATTCATTATCACAGTTCTCAAAAACAGACTCTGCACCATCAAATACAAACAGTATTTCTTCAGAAGAAGTTAGTTCTGTGACTCTGTCAGAAGATAATTTAAATAATTCTCTTGGTGTTACCATGGAATTTCCTACATCTTCAGTATCTCCTACGACTTCAGTTGTTTCCACTATCACCACAGTTATTCCATGTACAGCTACTGTAGGAACATCTGCTTGGGACTGTGATAAAATTACAAACAGTACAGTTATTAAAATGGAAGTAGAATCCACAGAAATAAAGAAAGAAATAAAAGAAAATATAACAGAAATAAAACCTGAAGATCAAATTGAAGTGAAAAATGAACTAACAGGAAAAAAATCTGCACCAGGTATTAATTCCTGCATTACAGCTATAAAAGATGAAGTGCCACCTATGAAACAAGATTCAATAGTTTCTCAATCGTGTACAATTTCAGAATCATCTAGTGTTTCTAGTGATGTTAAAAATGAACCATTTGAAGCAGGTTCTCAACCACCACCTAAGCCAAAACCAAACAAAAAAAGTAAGTTTATTACTCTAGTTAATTTTTTTTTCAAGTCAGTGCATTCGCTGTATTGAACTTCACAAAAAAATGGCATGATGCTTTTAGATACAAAGTTAAACAGAAGGAAAATTATCTGATATTGGGGGGGGGGGGACAAAGTCAGAGGTTTATTATGGTTTTGTTTCCAATTTGTTTTGTTTTTTGAGTTTTTGTGTGTGTTTCTTGTCTAACTACAAACTTAACAGGGCAGAAAAAAATTAAATCAAGCCCATAGACTACATATGTGCAGTTTTATTTTCTTTAAAGTGCTTGCTTGAATTATATTAGAAAATTTTAATGGATAGGATCAAATTTAGTAGATGTAGTAGTAGTTCAGTGGTATTTGATAATCCTTTCCAGAAAAATCCAAAAAGGACTATTTGTTACCACTTGGCTGGCTGAGCTTGGACTTGGTCCACAGTGAATTTAACAAATGGGTCAGATTGTTATGTTTGGGAGGACTTTGTTATGTATTATAAAGTATCAAAAGAAGTATATTGATGAATATTAGGCAAGTTGAAATTAACATTTGTAAAAGACAAAAGTATTTTTAAGGATTCTGTTTTTTTCCAAACAGTGTCTCAAAGCAAAATTTTGGAAATTTCATAATCTAAAAGGACATATAAATCAAATTATACAAACTTTTTTAAAGCAGAAGTTGGATACTAGTCAGTAAAATTGTACTAAATTTCACATAATTTGGTTAAATATGTCTACAGTGAAAAGATAAAAAAATTAGGGGATATTAGTGACAACTCTATTCCAGAAAGTTTAAATACATGTCATTTTCTATGCATGCAGGAAACTTATTTATTAAAAGTAAACAAACTACAACAGTTGATGATTTAGATACAACATATATAGTTTCAAATATGTAGACACATGCACAGTTATAAGAATCAACTTACTGTCAAGAAAATTATGTAAAATAATATGTGCTATTATGAGAATTACATTGCCAGTGGTTAATAATTATTAATCATTTAATACTATAGAAGCCTTATGATTCTATTGTGTCATTAGAAATGTGTTTTACAGACCAACTAATTTGAGTGTAAAAAATTTAACAGTAGTACCACTTTTCAGTGCTTGCATTTTAAAATATTTTGTAGATGACACAGTTGTCTCATTTCCAAACTTTTTCCATTACAGTTTTTCATTAATCAACAATTTTAATGCACTCGAGTTTTGTTATTAGTTCCTTTATGACTTGTTGAAGTTGCCAATGATTGTGTTATGATTAGAAAAATGCTACATTTTTTTACATTTACTTCCTCTAAGACAAGAAATGTTTGTAGCATTTGTTATTGTTATTAAGCTCTTTATATTAAAATAATATAATATTATATTATATTATTTATTTTTATTATAATATAATATTATATTATTGTATTATATTTTATATTAATAATATGTTATATATTGTGTAAACATTATGATTTTTGGGTTATTTATCATAGCATCCACCAGCACATTTTTTTGTGTTAAGTTCATAACCCGGACAAAGAAAGGGTACATCAGATTGCTGGAAATATCACATTTTGGATATTTAACAAATTATTCTTCCTTTTTGTGTTTGTGTGTGCATGCTTCTTGCTGGTATGAAAAAAATGATACTTTATTTATTATAAACTTAGATGTATTTTCAATATTCCATCATTTTAAATTAAGTGGCCTACACTTGCAACTTCAGTTTGTAATTTTTTGCCTAATATATAAACTGTACTAATAAACAGCTTATAAGTCTATGAGAAAAGTTTTAAGTGTATATATAT